TTTTTCAACGTTTTTTTATTTATTTTTGGGACAGAGAGAGACAGAGCATGAACGGGGGAGGGGCAGAGAGAGAGGGAGACACAGAATCGGAAACAGGCTCCAGGCTCTGAGCCATCAGCCCAGAGCCCGACGCGGGGCTTGAACTCAGGGACCGCGAGATCGTGACCTGGCTGAAGTCGGACGCTTAACCGACTGCGCCACCCAGGCGCCCCATCCTTGTCTTATTCTTGATCTCAGTGAGGAAACTTTTTAGTTTCTCACTATTAAGTATGGTGTTAGCTGTTGGTTTTTTCATAGATACATAAAGTTGAGGAAGTTCCTTTGGATTCTTAGTTTGTTGGTAGATTTCATGTTGAATGGGTGTTGGATTTTGTCAGATTCTTTCTCTATATTTGTTGATATGATCATATGTTTTTTTTTCCCTTAGCTTGTTGATATGATGGATTACATTAATTGATTTTGGAATGTTGAACCAGCTTTGCATGCATGGAATAAATCCCACTTAGTTGTGGTTTATAATTCTTTTTATACATGGTTTCCTTTTGCTAATATTTTCTTGAGGATTTTTGCATCTGTGTTTGTGAGAGATACTGTTCTTTAACTTTCTTTGAATCCCTTTTTCTGGTTTTTGTATTAGGGTAATGCTGCCCTCATACAATGAGTTAGGAAATATTTTCTATGCTTCTGTTTTCTGGAAGAAATTGTAGAGAGTTGGTATTATTTCTTCTTTACATGTTTGCTAGAAGTCACCAGTGAAACCACCTAGCCCTGGTGATTTCTTTTGGAAGGTTATTAATTTTTTATTCAATTTCTATAGTAGATACAGACCTACTCAGATGATCTGTTTCTCCATGTGTGACTTTTGTTAGATTTTGTCATTCAAGGAAATGGTCCATTTTATTTAAGATATTAAATTTGTGAGCGTAGAATTGTTTATAATACTGTTTTAGTTTCCTTTTCATTATCCATGTGATTAGTAGGCATGACCCCTCTTTTGTCAATGATACCAGTAATTTGTGTCCTCTCTCTTTTTTTCTTGGTTAGCCTGGCTGGAGGTTTATTGATTTTATTGACCTTTCAAAGAACCAGCTTGTGGTTTAAGTGACTTTTTCTCTATTAATTTACCCGTTTTCAGTTTCATTGGTTTCTGCTCTAATTTATATTATTTCTTCTGCTTATTTGGGTTTAATTTGCTTTTCTTTTTCTTGGTTTTTAAGGTAAAAGCTTAGATTACTGATTCTAAATCTCTTTTCTTTTGTAGCATACATACTACATGCTATAAATTTCTCTGTAAGCAGTGCTCTTACTGCATTCTATAATTTTTTGGTAACTTTTATTTTCATTTTAATTCAGTTTCAGATATTTCAGTTTCTTTTGATACTTCTTCCTTGATTCATATGTTGCTCAATCTCCAAATATTTGGGGATTTTCCAGTTATCTGTTAGTGATTTCTAGTTTAACTCTGTTGTGGTTTGAGAGCCTGTTTTGTATGATTTCTATTCGTTTAAATTTTTATGTATAATTTATAGGCCAGAATGTGGTCCATCTTTGTGAATGTTATTTATATATGAGCATGACAAAAATTGTGTATTCTTGAGAAGCTTGCATATTCTGTTGACACCTGATAAACTAATTAATAAGTGTCAATTTGATCAAGTTGATTGATGGTGCTATTCAGTTCAACTATTGATTCAATCCTTATTGATTTTCTGCCTGATGGGTAAAGGCTAAGATTCAGAATTTAAAATTCTTTAGGTGTCCTTGTTTTTGTTTTCCTTGTTATTTTTGGATTTCCCTAGAGGCTCATTAAATGGAGTCTAAGCTTACAGTTCTTTGAATTGTAACCTTCTGATATTATATAGGAGCCCTGCTGATATGATGGTCAGTTGTAGGGGGAACAGAAGCGTTCTATAATCCTGTGACTAGATCATAGAATTTTAGTAGGTCTATTTCCATGGCTGTGACCTTTACAAGTGCTTCTCAACTTTCCCTACACCCTACTTATATGGGAGACAGGAAGGCTAGAGGAGTCTGGAGTTGGGTATTTTTCTTCCCCCATGTCAGCTAGGCTCTAGTAAAACTCACGTTGGTTAGATTTGAAAACAGTTTTCCTAGAAGACAGATCTTTGTTAAGGACAGCAGGATGCTCTGGGTGTATTTCACAGTGATTACTTTTCCGCTATCTCTGCAGGAAGCACTGGAGAATTTTCTTTGATCTTTACTTTGGTGGGGCTCCTAGAGGTAAAATTTACCTAGAGGTAAAATTCTTGAAAAGGTGCAGCTCTTCCTAAGGTTGGGCTTCTAGGAGTTTTTATCTCTCAACTTAGTCTACACTTAGTTGCCAGCAATTGGTCAATTACTCTTAAAGTTTTCCTACCAGTTGCTGACTCCAGCAACATTTGCTACTTCCGGTAAGCTGTGATTCTGTGTTTTGTTTTGTTTTTCAGCTTCCTGGGTGGTGGTTTTACCCTGTGACCTGAATTCTCTTTAAAACCTAAGATGTATTATTGATTTTTA